GAACGACAAAAACCACAGACACCAGGTGAGATAGAGACCAGGTGAGATAGAGACCAGGTGAGACAGATAACAGGTGAGAAAGATAACAGGTGAGATATAGACCAGGTGATACAGAGACCAGGGAGATAGATACCAGGTGAGATAGAGACCAGGTGACACAGAGATCAGGTGAGATAGAGACCAGGTGAGATAGACACCAGGTGAGATAGAGACTAGGTGAGATAGACACCAGGTGAGATAGAGACCAGGTGACACAGAGACCAGGTGAGACAGAGACCAGGTGAGATAGACACCAGGTGAGATAGAGACCAGCTGATATAGACACCAGGTGAGATAGAGACCAGGTGACACAGAGACCAGGTGAGATAGAGACCAGGTGATACAGAGACCAGGTGAGATAGAGACCAGGTGACACAGAGACCAGGTGAGATAGAGACCAGGTGACACAGAGACCAGGTGAAATAGAGACCAGGTGAGATAGAGACCAGGTGAGATAAGAGACCAGGCGACACAGAGACCAGGTGAAATAGAGACCAGGTGACACAGAGACCAGGTGAAATAGAGACCAGGTGAGATAGAGACCAGGTGACACAGAGACTCTTCATAAGCTCCACCTCCTCCCCTCACCTGTTTACCTTTGTATCACCACTCCTATATGTGTGTGTGCTGTTTGTGTGTAGATCACAGAATTGTGTGAAGGTGTGATCCGGGTACACGCCCCTCTGCACACCAAGGTTTCCATGGCGATACAGCTTGATGGACAGACAACAGCTAGAGACGTCACCACTCGCTTCGAGTTTGACAGCAGGTAACACACACACACACACACACACGCACACACGCGAACGAATATTACTAATAAAGTGCTCTCTCTCTCTCAGCTCACCTGTTCAGCACCTGTATGAAGTGGGAGGAAACATCAGTGAGTGAAAACAAACAGAAACTATTTCTTTACACGTTAGTGTTCGTATTAAAACCTGTCTCTCTCTCTGCCTGTCTCTTTGCCTGTCTCTCTCTCTCTCTGCCTGTCTCTCTCTACCTGTCTCTCTCTGCCTGTCTCTCTCTCTCTACCTGTCTCTCTCTCTCTGCCTGTCTCTCTCTCTCTCTCTGCCTCTCTCTCTCTGCCTGTCTCTCTCTACCTGTCTCTCTCTCTCTGCCTCTCTCTCTGCCTGTCTCTACCTGTCTCTCTCTCTCTGCCTGTCTCTCTCTACCTGTCTCTCTCTCTGCCTGTCTCTCTCTCTCTACCTGTCTCTCTCTCTCTGCCTGTCTCTCTCTCTCTCTCTGCCTCTCTCTCTCTGCCTGTCTCTCTCTCTACCTGTCTCTCTCTCTCTCTCTCTCTCTCTCTCTCTCTACCTGTCTCTCTCTCTCTGCCTGTCTCTCTCTCTCTCTCTGCCTCTCTCTCTCTGCCTGTCTCTCTCTCTCTCCCTGTCTCTCTCTCTCAGCTGAGCGTCGTCTCCATCCTGACTGCTTGCTGCTGGACGTCTTCAGAGTGAATCCTCACTGTGATTGGCTGATTAAACTGTGACACATAGAATGTCTCATCACCTGTCTCAATGTCCGTGCCTGACCTGTCTCACCTCCTGACAGCTGGTCTAACTACCTGGAGTGTGCCATGTGGACGTCTGTGGCTCAGTGGGTAGGGTTCAATGTCCCATGTGTCCTTGTTGCTCCCCCTGCTTGGTAGGCGGGGTGTGAATGTTACTCTACCATCAGGGTGTGACATCACAGGTGTGACATCATCAGTATTCCTTTGTTTTTTAATGAAAAGCTGAAAACAATAAAGAATGTTTTATGATAGTTGAACTGTTGTCGTCTTTGTTGTCACTGATCATCACAGCTGCTAGTGTTTTGTCTCCACCTGCTGGTCACAGTTTGATATTGAAATAGACTGTGATGTCACTTCCTCTCTGAAGGAGAATAAAAAGAGACGATATTCAAAGAGCGGCTCTGCTCATGAAACTGAGCAGAACAGATTTATTACAGCACAAACATCCAACCATAAAAAACCTCCAGATCATTTACAAAGACACTTATTTACAAATCATACATGAAGCCTGGAGAGGTCGGCCATGTCATCACATGATCGGTGAGGTCATCAGTTCATGTTCAGTTTTCAGAGCAGGAAAAAAACACTTTAACACAGAACTTCATTTATATCAACTTAAAAAGATACAAAATATAATCAACTTGATAGTTACAGGGGGAGGAGGAAGAGGAGAGGAGGAGGAGAGGAAGAGGAGGAGGGAGAGGAGAGTAAGAAGAGGAGGAGGAAGAGGAGAGGAGGAGGAGAGGAAGAGGAGGGAGAGGAGAGTAAGAGGAAAGGAAGAAGAGGAGGAGGAAGAGGAGAGGAGGAGGAGAGGAAGAGGAGGAGGGAGAGGAGAGTAAGAGGAAGAGGAGAGGAGGAGAGGAAGAGGAGAGGAGGAGGAGGAGAGGAGAGAAGAGGAAGAGGAGAGGAGGAGAGGAAGAGGAGAGGAAGAGGAGAGGAGGAGAGGAAGAAGAAGAGGAGGAGAGGAGGAGGAAGAGGAGAAGAGGAAGAGGAGGAGGTGCTAGGAGCAGCTGATGGCGTCCAGGTGTTGCTCCTCGGCAGCCATGGCGGCGGCCTGCAGCGTTTCCGTGTCGCTCTGCAGAGGGTTCAGCTGCTTCCTCTCACTGTGCATGTTGTTCTCATGACGTTTCAGATCTGACGCCTGAAAATACAGACAGACCCTGAATGCACCACACGTACACACTCAGCCACACCATAAACAATGTCACTCTCTCACAGCTGATTCAGTGCGGTCTGTCAGATGTTTGGACAGCACTACAACATGCCGTGTTCACTTTAAAGTGGTAGCTGCTCTGCGGTAACCATGGACACCAACAGAGGCTCTGTGGTAACCATGGACACAGACAGAGGAGCTGCTCTGTAGTAACCATGGACACCAACAGAGGCTCTGTGGTAACCATGGACACAGACAGAGGAGCAGCTCTGTGGTAACCATGGACACCAACAGAGGAGCAGCTCTGTGGTAACCATTACACAGACAGAGGAGGAGCTCTGTGGTAACCATTACACAGACAGAGGAGCAGCTCTGTGGTAACCATTACACAGACAGAGGAGCAGCTCTGTGGTAACCATTACACAGACAGAGGAGCAGCTCTGTGGTAACCATGGACACAGACAGAGGAGGAGCTCTGTGGTAACCATTACACAGACAGAGGAGGAGCTCTGTGGTAACCATGGACACCGACAGAGGAGCAGCTCTGTGGTAACCATTACACCGACAGAGGAGCAGCTCTGTGGTAACCATTACACAGACAGAGGAGCAGCTCTGTGGTAACCATTACACAGACAGAGGAGCAGCTCTGTGGTAACCATTACACAGACAGAGGAGCAGCTCTGTGGTAACCATTACACAGACAGAGGAGCTGCTCTGTAGTAACCATGGACACAGACAGAAGACACCGACAGAGGAGCAGCTCTGTGGTAACCATTACACAGACAGAGGAGGAGCTCTGTGGTAACCATTACACAAACAGAGGAGCAGCTCTGTGGTAACCACAATTCTATCGAGTAGGAGTGTTAGTAGTATTAGTCATTTTAGTAGTAATATCAGGAGAACAGGAAGGATACAGCAGTAGTGTAGTATTAGTACAGGTGTGCAGGATGGATACAGCAGTAGTAGTGTAGTATTAGCACAGGTGTGCAGGATGAATACAGCAGTAGTGTAGTATTAGCACAGGTGTGCAGTATGATACAGCAGTAGTGTAGTATTAGCACAGGTGTGCAGGATGAATACAGCAGTAGTGTAGTATTAGTGCAGGTGTGCAGTATGATACAGCAGTAGTGTTGTATTAGCACAGGTGTGCAGGATGAATACAGCAGTAGTGTAGTATTAGCACAGGTGTGCAGGATGGATACAGCAGTAGAACTGTTACCTTGGCGAAGGCCTTAGTGCAGGACGGACAGACGAACGGTTTCTCTCCTCGATGTCTCCGCTCGTGATCCTTCAGGTGAGATTTGTGTTTAAACGCCTGCAGACAGACAGGTGAAAGAGAGACATACAGGTGATGTAAAAGAGTCAAGAGGAAGGAAGACAGACAGACACAACAGGTGAGAGACAGACAGGTAAGCTGACCTTGTCACACATCTGACAGGCGAACGGCCTCTCGTTGCTGTGAACTCGTTCATGTTTTTTCAGGTCCGGAGCTCGAATAAATGATTTCCCACAAACATCACACCTGTATGGTTTGAAGCCGGTGTGAATCTTCAGGTGTTCTGAACAAACAGGTGAGGGCAGGGCCAAAAAGTCCATCAGTGATCAAAACTTCTGCCATGAGATGTCCTTCATATGTTATACTATTATATGGTACTGTACCTGATGACATCACAGAGCACAGGTGTGTGCTTACCTTTCAGGTGAGCATGGGTGGTGAAAGCTTTGGAGCAGATCTCACAGGCGAATGGACGCTCGGCCGAGTGAAGCTTCTCATGTTTCCTGACAGCAAAGAGAACAGGTGAATCAGCAAGGTAAGTGTACCAGTTGTGTCCACCAGTAGAGTCAACCAGGTGAGTCCACCAGGCAAGTTAACCTGGGGGGAGTACCAGGCGAGTCAGCCAGGTGAGTCCTACAGGCAAGTCAACCTGGGGGGAGTACCAGGCAAGTCCAACAGGCGAGTCAACCAGGGGGAACACCAGGCGAGTCAGCCAGGGGGAATACCAGGCAAGTTAACCTGGGGGGAGTACCAGGAGAGTCAGCCAGGCAAGTCCACCAGGCAAGTCAACCTGGGGGGAATACCAGGCGAGTCCACCAGGCAAGTCAACATGGGGGGAGTACCCGGTGAGTCAGCCAGGCGAGTGCACCAGGCAAGTCAACTTGGGGGGAGTACCAGGCGAGTCAGCCAGGCGAGTCAGCCAGGCAAGTCAACCTGGTGGGAGCACCAGGCAAGTCAGCCAGGCGAGTCCACTTGGGGGGAGTACCAGGCGAGTCAGCCAGGTGAGTCAGCCAGGCAAGTCCACCAGGCAAGTCAGCTTGGGGGAGTACCAGGCGAGTCCACCAGACAAGTCAACCTGGGGGGAGTACCAGGTGAGTCAGCCAGGCGAGTCCACCAGGCAAGTCAACTTGGGGGGAGTGCCAGGCGAGTCAGCCAGGCGAGTCCACCAGGCAAGTCAACTTGGGGGGAGTACCAGGCGAGTCAGCCAGGCGAGTCCAACAGGCAAGTCAACCTGGGGGGAGTACCAGGCAAGTCAGCATGGGGGGAATACCAGGCGAGTCCAACAGGCGAGTCAACCTGGGGGGAGTGCCAGGCAAGTCCACCAGGCAAGTCAACCTGGGGGGAGTGCCAGGCAAGTCCACCAGGCAAGTCAACCTGGGGGGAGTAGCAGGCGAGTCAGCCAGGCAAGTCCACCAGGTAAGTCAACCTGGGGGGAGTGCCAGGCGAGTCCACCAGGCAAGTCAACCTGGTGGGAGTACCAGGCGAGTCAGCCAGGCGAGTCCACCAGGCAAGTCAACCTGGTGGGAGTACTAGGCAAGTCAACCTGGTGGGAGTACCAGGCGAGTCAGCCAGGCAAGTCCACCAGGCAAGTCAACCTGGGGGGAGTACCAGGCAAGTCAGCCAGGTAAATTTACCAGTTTTGTCCACCAGTAGAGTCAGGCTGGTGTGCCCAACAGGTGGATGTGACAGGTGGATGTACCAGGTGAGTCCGACAGGTCAGCTATTTGTGTCTACCAATTGAGTCCACTAGGTGATTCTACTAGATGAGTCAACCAGGTGTGAATCTTTAAATATTTCGTACCTGAGCCTGCTCTCATCCAGGAAGGTCTTTCCGCACACCTGGCAGGCGAGCTGCTCGCGAGTTCCGTAAAGCAGATATTCAAACTTCATGTCAGCCGTGGTGTTAGACCAGCCAGGTGGCTGCTCGTCCTTCACCTCCCCCATGCTGTCTGTAAATGTGAGCGTCTGTGTGGCGTGGTGCTCTGCCCCCAAGTCTTTAGGCTCCGCCTCCAACTCTGTAACCACATCCTGGTCGTAGCAAGTCACCTGGAGAAGTGTTTAAATGTTTTCCTGTATGATATCTTTGTTAAGGACATTTTTGATGAAAGTCTGCGTGCTCGATGTGCTTACCTTGTGTACGTCCTCATTGGTCAGTTCTTTCAAGATCGCTTCCTGAACACGCAGTGCTGCACTTGGAGACTTATCCAGCTCCTGATTGGATGATGCCTCGACCAGATCATCTGTGGTCGGTGTGTCATCATGCTCCCCGAGCACCTGTACACAAACAAACACACAAATTATTGATCAGTGTGTGTGGTTATTGAATAATGTGTGTGTGAGGTTATTGATCAGTGTGTGTGTGTGTGTGTGTGTGTGTGAGGTTATTGAATAGTGTGTGTGAGGTTATTGAGCAGTGTGTGTGTGTGTGTGTGTGAGGTTATTGATCAGAGTGTGTGTGAGGTTATTGATCAGTGTGTGTGTGAGGTTATTGATCAGAGTGTGTGTGAGGTTATTGATCAGAGTGTGTGTGAGGTTATTGATCAGAGTGTGTGTGAGGTTATTGATCAGTGTGTGTGTGAGGTTATTGATCAGTGTGTGTGTGAGGTTATTGATCAGTGTGTGAGGTTACTGATCAGAGTGTGTGTGAGGTTATTGATCAGTGTGTGTGTGTGTGTGTGTGTGAGGTTATTGATCAGTGTGTGTGAGGTTACTGATCAGAGTGTGTGTGAGGTTATTGATCAGTGTGTGTGTGTGTGTGTGTGAGGTTATTGATCAGGGTGTGAGGTTATTGATCAGTGTGTGTGTGAGGTTATTGATCAGTGTGTGTGTGAGGTTATAAATACCTCGGAGTCAGCGGCGAGCTGGGCTTCGGGTGGCAGCGCCATCTTTACTATGTCATAAGGAAACTTCTCTTTGTCCTCTGACGACATGTCTCGTTTCTGAGGACACATGAAACATCAGACAGAGGGAGGAGCATTATCTGTAGTACAGGTGACACTGGCAGTATCACTGGTGTCACAGTTTTAATGACTTAATGCATCTCTTTATATCATGTACTGGTTGCTATAGTTACACAGAGAAGGTCACCTTGTGTGTGTTACCTGTGTGTGTGTTACCTATGTGTGTGTGTGTTACCTGTGTGTGTATGTGTTACCTGTGTGTGTGTGTGTTACCTCTGTGTCTGTGTTACCTGTGTGTGTATGTGTTACCTGTGTGTATATGTGTTACCTGTGTATGTGTTACCTGTGTGTGTATGTTACCTGTGTGTGTGTGTGTGTGTTACCTCTGTGTCTGTGTTACCTGTGTGTGTATGTTACCTGTGTGTGTGTTACCTGTGTGTGTGTGTATGTTACCTGTGTGTGTGTGTGTGTGTGTGTGTGTGTGTGTGTGTGTATGTATTACCTGTGTGTGTGTGTGTATGTGTTACCTGTGTGTATGTTACCTGTGTGTGTGTTACCTCTGTGTCTGTGTTACCTGTGTGTATGTTACCTGTGTGTATGTGTTACCAGTGTGTGTGTTACCTGGGAGCAGAGCTTGTCGAGAAAGCGGATGCCGAGGATCTGACCTGATGACATCATTAGGTTGACGTCTCTCTTTTTGACAGAAATTTTGGCGGTGTACATGTAGTTCAACACTTCCTCGAAGATATCTGAGCGAATGAAATCGATCTCTATCACTGAAGAGTTATCCACCTGAGGACACACACACAGGTGAGTCATTACTAAGAGAGTCATAACAGGTGAGCCATTACAGGTGAGTCATAACAAAGAGTCATTACAGGTGAGTCATAATAAAGAGTCATAACAGGTGAGTCATTACAGGTGAGTCATAACAAAGAGTCACTACAGTTGAGTCACAACAAAGAGTCATTACAGGTGAGTCATAAAGAGTAATTACAAAGAGTCATTACAAAGAGTAATTACAAAGAGTAATTACAAAGAGTCATTAAAGGTGAGTCATAACAAAAGAGTCATTAAAGGTGTGTCATAACAAAGAGTCATTACAAAGAGTCATTACAGGTGAGTCATTACAGGTGAGTCATAACAAAGAGTCATTACAAAGAGTCATTAAAGGTGAGTCATAACAAAGAGTCCTTACAAAGAGTCATTACAAAGAGTCATTACAGGTGAGTCATAACAAAGAGTCATTAAAGATGAGTCAGTACAGGTAAGTCATTACCCCGTGCTGTGTGTATTCAGTGTGTAGTACTGATGCAGTACCTCGTGTTTTTTGAAGAGTTTTTTGAAGTAGTTGGAGCAGGCGGCAAGCACACAACGGTGAGCTCTGAACTTGACGTCTTCGACCACGACTGCAATGTCACAGTGCTCGCCCTCCAGACGCTGTTCGTTCAGCAGCTTCAAGAATATGCTCTTATGTTCATCGTCCACGTACTTCACCGTTTCCGCCATCTGCACGCACACAGGTAAGACATCAGATGGTTGATTACACACACACACACACACACACACACACACACACACACACACACACACACACACACACACACACACACACACACACACACACACACACACACACACACACACACACACACACACACACACACACACACACACACACACACACACACACACACACACGACGTGATTCTTGCAGAGACCGTGACATCGTCTGGCGGGAATGACAGGAAGAGCTGGGTTATCGTCAGCATAGCAGTGGTATGAGAAGCCATGAGAGCGGATTATTGAACAAGTGGGCCTGTGTATATGGAGAAGAGAAGGGGACCAAGCACTGACCCCTGAGGTACCCCTGTGGATAACCTGTGCGCTTTGGACACTTTTGTAGAGTGCGTCTGTAGACGTGTCTGTAGAGAGTGTGTCTGTAGACTCGTCTGTAGAGAGTGTGTACTGTAGACTCGTCTGGAGAAAGTGTGTACTGTAGACTCGTCTGTAGAGAGAGTGACTATAGACTCGTCTGTAGAGTGTGTCTGTAGACTCGTCTGTAGAGAGAGTGTCTGTAGACTCATCTGTAGAAAGTGTGTACTGTAGACTCGTCTGGAGAAAGTGTGTACTGTAGACTCGTCTGGAGAAAGTGTGTACTGTAGACTCGTCTGTAGAGAGTGTGTCTATAGACTCGTCTGTAGAGAGAGTGTCTGTAGAAAGTGTGTACTGTAGACTTGTCTGTAGAGAGAGTGTATGTAGACTCGTCTGTAGAGTGTGTCTATGGAATCATCTGTAGAGTGTGTCTATAGACTCGTCTGTAGAGAGAGTGTCTATAGACTCGTCTGTAGAGTGTGTCTGTAGACTCGTCTGTAGAGAGAGTCTGTAGACTCGTCTGTAGAGTGTGTTTGTAGACTCGTCTGTAGATAGTGTGTCTGTAGACTCATCTGTAGAAAGTGTGTACTGTAGACTCGTCTGTAGAGAGTGTGTCTATAGACTCGTCTGTAGAGTGTGTCTATGGACTCGTCTGTAGAGTGTGTCTATAGACTCGTCTGTAGAGAGTGTGTCTGTAGACTCATCTGTAGAGAGAGTCTGTAGACTCGTCTGTAGAGTGTGTTTGTAGACTCGTCTGTAGAGAGAGTGTCTGTAGACTCATCTGTAGAAAGTGTGTACTGTAGACTCGTCTGGAGACAGTGTGTACTGTAGACTCATCTGGAGAAAGTGTGTACTGTAGACTCGTCTGGAGAAAGTGTGTACTGTAGACTCGTCTGGAGAAAGTGTGTACTGTAGACTCGTCTGTAGAGAGTGTGTACTGTAGACTCATCTGTAGAAAGTGTGTACTGTAGACTCGTCTGGAGAAAGTGTGTACTGTAGACTCGTCTGGAGAAAGTGTGTACTGTAGACTCGTCTGTAGAGAGTGTGTCTTTAGACTCGTCTGTAGAGTGTGTCTGTAGAGTGTGTGTCTATGGACTCGTCTGTAGAGAGAGTGTCTATAGACTCGTCTGTAGAGAGAGTGTCTGTAGAAAGTGTGTACTGTAGACTTGTCTGTAGAGAGAGTGTCTGTAGACTCGTCTGTAGAAAGTGTGTCTGTAGACTCGTCTGTAGAGTGTGTGTCTATGGACTCGTCTGTAGAGAGAGTGTCTATAGACTCGTCTGTAGAGAGAGTGTCTGTAGAAAGTGTTGGGCCACACAGGCTTAGGACAGTCAAACAATGAACTTGGGCCTGCACCTCTGTAAAAGCCTCATTTGAGTTATTCACTGAGATCACAAAGAGGCCTAAAAGGACTCTTAATCCCAGAATCCCCTGCGGTACTTCACACCTACACGTGAAGTAAGGGGGGACCGGAACCTCTCTCTCCTCATTGGAGGGGACCTGAGGTAGACCCCCCATGGAGCAGGCCAGGCTACAAAACTCCAAGACTTCCATTGCTCGATCTCTTTCACGCGCTGACTTCTGGTGCTCGGAGACCCAAGAAGATCTCCTGTTTCCTGCAACAATCTTCCTTTGTTTTAAGTTTTTTTGGCGCGCAGGTAATCCGCGGCCGGCAGTGTTCTAAATTCCGAGCTCGGATTGTCCAGTGAACGCATCTCAGTTTCTCGGAGAGCGTCAGACTATAACAGATTATCAGAAAGATAACGGTCTTATTCCGTCCTGCAACGAAAGGACATCAAAAGGACATCTTTCCACTCGACGGAGAACCAACGAAGCCGCTCTCGCCGTAAGGGACCCTCGCCGCCATCAGACACCTCTGCACCAGGACGGACAGAAGATCTGCTCCATCACCGGACTCTTTTCCTTTCACCAATCGCGGACAAAGCGGTTCACAAGTGAGGCTTAATTAGGTCTGGGCAGAATTAGCTTTAGAGAGTGTTTTTAACAATTGTTGATCGAAGCAGAAACTGTAATTTCTATCTTTGTTGGACCTGCGTCCTGAGTTTTAACTGTTTAAAACTCTTGTTGTTGTTTCGGACCGCTGCGTCCTATATGTGTTTAGCGTAACAGCGTTATAACCGGGTATTACTCCTCTGATCAGAAAGGCCAGTGTAAGCCGTATTAACCTGAATTCGGCTATTGGTTTGTTTCTGTGAATGAAGGGAATTACTCCGAGTTGTGGCGCGGGAGTCGGACTGTGATCCGGCCTCTTCAGGCACGCATTTCTCTTTTATTTCCCCTTCTACGAACACACACACACACATTCCCGTGTAAACGTACATCTGGAGACCAACTCCACCACCGCGCCATTACGCACAGAGATCTATACACTCGCGGCTATCCAGACGCCTCAGAGACACAGATCGTGTAGGGCCGAACTCAGTCTCTTTTAGACCTTAAGGCCACATTTAGGCCTTTGTTAGGTGTGTGCCATCGGAAGGGCGACCACGTGGGACGAAGTAATCTCCCCCCCCCTTCTCGCTCCCTTTCATCCACACGCGCACGCACCCAGGTCTTTGTTAGGTTTGCGCCATCGTGAACGACCACGTGGGTACGAAGCCATCTTCCCCCCTTCTCACACACACACACACACACACACACACAAGCTGGGGTGCGAAGGCTTTGTGTACGGATTTCACGCCTTCAATTTATTAAATATAGTTATTCATTATTAATAATATTAGTAATTAAAGAACTAATTTGAGACTGATTTGAGTGATATTTTGGTTATATTTACCTGATTACAGGTTGGTGCCCCAAAACGAGATTAAACATAGTTTAATGATATTTTATTTATATTATTAATAATTAAGTATAATTATTAAAGAATATAACCAAAGTTGACTTGATACAACCCCAACAAATGGTGCCCCGTGTGAGGCCTTCAATAAACCAGCTTTATTGCACTGTAAATGCACAGTAATCCAAACTTAAAATCCTAAAAAGGATCCTTCGGAAGAAAATTATATTTTCTTCAAATTTCTGTGGTTTAAGCAAAGCAGACATCAAGCTGTGGCTTAGTTGTGTTGTACGTTATTAATTAATGGTTATAGCCATAACTGTTGTCCCCTTTGGGTCCATACAACAATTGGACATAATGATGCAGCTAGTGTGACTTTATCAAGGAACTTGATTTGTTGCATTAATCTAGATTTTGATCCTGAAGTATTCTACTAAAGGATTGTGGGGCTCCTTGTTGTTTGAGAGCCATTTGGCCAGATGAGAGTGTAACCTCATCATTGTTGCATAGCCAGCTGTCTGAGAGGTGTGAGTTCCTCCCTTCCTTTGAGGACTTGAGGTGTGAATCCCCTCTCCTATCTTCCAGGATAGACTGCAGTGATCAGTTGGGAAACTTAGATAAGATTTGCTCTTGTGTACCAAGACCCTAGGTGAGTCGGGGGCTGAGACTCCTCTTGGATCAGACGACGCAGCACTGCAAGAAACTGCTGCCGGTCTGACGAACCTCTCCTTAGAAGAGAGTGTCAACCTATATAGCTAGTCAATTAGCATTAGTGATAAGAAGTAAGAAGAGCTAGTTGATCTTGTCAACCACAGAGCCAGGCTCACCCCTAATAAAGACAGAATGTATGCAGAAGACATACATCAACTATGGTCCAAAGCTCACTATGGATCAGACGATCCACCCCTTCAAGACATAGTTGCTAATCTTATCCACCTCCCTATAGAGCAGCTCGACAACCTGAACTCCTACACCCTCAGCACATGTGAAAAGAAACTAAAGGGCTTGGTTGAATATGCAAATCAACTGGGAAGCCAACACGTACAGTTTCAGATGTTCTAGGCGAAATTCTCCTCCTTTATCAGCGCAAATCAAATGTGCAGAATGAGATACACCGGGAACAGCTAGCCCAGGTACTAGAAGAAGGACAGATCCTGCGGGACGACTTCGAAAGAATGCAGGATAAACTAAAGACCTTGCAGGAAAATTGCAAGGCCCTGCAGGAGGAGAATAAAACACTGCATGAAAGCAGCAAACTGGCCGAACAGAAGAAACGAAGTGACACGGTACCCAGATTTCAGGATAGGCAGATAAGTACTGCAGCCCCCAGATCAGCTAAGGAAACCTCAGACGAAGGATGGGAGACTGAAACAAGCCCCTGGAGGAGGGAGACAGACATGTTGCAGGATCTGGAGGAGAGGGGAAGGCACCGCTGGGTCGACCCAGGCACAAAAGCGCCCACGTCCTCAGACCACCCGGTAAAGAGCTGGATGATTAAAGATGAAGGGCCCCCGCGTTCCGCAATACGCTTTGAGCGAAGAGAACCCTCACCCCGCAGGAGGAGAGGCTTTACTTCCCCTAGAGACACCGAACGCTACCTGTCCCACGATAGACGGCCACGTCTGAGCCGAACACAAACCCCGCCACAGTTACAACCCTACTACCGTGACAACCACAGGGCTTACGATTCGTCAGACGAATCGGACGACCCTTGCCAGCCTTCGGGTCAGGGCCTGCGAACCAGGCAGATAGAACCTCAGGCCAAAGATCTGAAGCGTTTTGACCCAGATTCAAGTATTAACGACTACCTTAGAGAAGTTGACCATTGTCTCCTTGACCTGCCTCATGCGTCCTCGCATGAAAAACTGAAACGGATCTGGAAGACTACGGCTAGGAGTGTCCGTGACTTCATGGGGACACTCCCACCAAAGGTCCGATCCTTGCAGAAAGGAAACAAATCTGTTAGTCAGCACTTACAAACTGCCAAGCAGAAAGTGTTGGACATGTTTGAATTAATTCAGGGAGCACAGGTAAGCATGGAGCAAGACATATCGTCAGGATATGACTCTGATCCTGGACCAAGCCCCTTAAGAGATCAAACAACCCTGCTGAAAAAGCTCAGTAAAGAACCGAGCAGCCAGGATAACCCAAGGACTGAGGAAATAAGTCTAGTTTTCCCTGATTTTGACTGTGGAGCCCCGCTCCTTGGGGAAACGCCCCAGTTCTCTGACAACTGTGACACCCTTTCACACCTTCACAGGTTTGAATCACCACATAGGAAGGGGGGTGACTTCTCAGCCCCCAGAGGCAGAGATAACACCAGGCCCCCTCCTGCTACCTGTAGGTTCCCATTGCAGGATTCACGGCTAAGGAATATCCAAACCTCAGATGACTGGGATGGCTCCCTTCTACCCAGAGATCAAAGAATGCGCATAAGGCTCATTGAATCTATGGCACAGGATGTAGAGCGGTTTGATCCAGATAACTCAGACCTCTGCATCGATGATTACCTCGGAGAGATTAACCTGTGTCTCAGTGAGGTACCTGATGCATCCACAAGAGAAAAACTCAGGCTGATCTGGAAGACAACTTCCAAGAGTGTCCATAACTTCACGACTACCCTTCAGCCTGAGATCAGATACCAGTACTCTGCGCTCTGCAATGCTTTGCGCCAGGAATACTCCACCTACATTGACCCTGCATCTGCCCTTCTTAGTGCTTTCAGTGTCTTGCACCAGAAGCATGAGGCCCCCAAAGATTATTACTGGCGACTAAGATCTGCATATTTCCAGGGACGTGAGGCTCCAGGTTTGGAAGAGAACCCAACTTTCAAGTCACACATATACACACATATTCCTGTGTAAACGTACATCTGGAGACCAACTCCACCACCGCGCCATTACGCACAGAGATCTATACACTCGCAGCTATCCAGATGCCTCAGAGACACAGATCGTGTAGGGCCGAACTCAGTCTCTTTTAGACCTTAAGGCCACATTTAGGCCTTTGTTAGGTGTGTGCCATCGGAAGGGCGACCACGTGGGACGAAGTAATCTCCCCCCCCCCCTTCTTTATTTATATTATTAATAATTAAGTATAATTATTAAAGAATATAACCAAAGTTGACTTGATACAACCCCAACGAAAGTGTGTACTGTAGACTCATCTGTAGAAAGTGTGTACTGTAGACTCGTCTGGAGAAAGTGTGTACTGTAGACTCGTCTGGAGAAAGTGTGTACTGTAGACTCGTCTGGAGAAAGTGTGTACTGTAGACTCGTCTGTAGAGAGTGTGTCTTTAGACTCGTCTGTAGAGTGTGTCTGTAGACTCATCTGTAGAGAGTGTGTCTGTAGACTCATCTGTAGAGTGTGTCTGTAGACTCGTCTGTAGAGAGTGTGTCTTTAGACTCGTCTGTAGAGTGTGTCTGTAGACTCATCTGTAGAGTGTGTCTGTA